TTGGCCAAGGTTTCCAAGTAACAAACTGAGAGGCTGGAAAATCCAAGGCATCAGTCACCTTCCTTTAAGTCATCTTTCTGCCCTTTATCAGCTGAAGCCGGGACCCCTGGAGGAGACTTACATAGCTACTATCCTGAGAGAAATCCTAAAGGGTTTGGATTATCTACACTCTGAGAGGAAGATCCACAGGGACATCAAAGGTAAGAGTGGACAGCTCAGCTCCCTTTCTTGTAAGGGATGTCACTAACGTAAGATTCAGAAGTATTATACAGCAGTAATCTGAGACGTTTCAAAGACTGTTTCTTAGTGCTGCTTTTCCTCTCGCTTGCTTTTCTAATCTGATGCTTGTCATTTTATTGCAACTCATGGTTTTCATGTCTTTGGGATTTAGAGTAACAGTAAGGATCTGTAGCTCTTCTCTGGCATTTGTAGTTTGGACAGGCAGGGGGCTAAAGCCAAGGAGTCAATGAAAGGCACGCTCAAATTTTATCTGAGACTCTCTCAGTTATGTCTGGACATTTGCTTTACTGCTGGACCCCAAGGCCTGTGTGTGCTGGTTATCATGGTTATAACTTACTGTGAAGGTGAGCTGTCCTCACGCAGGGTTCACAGCCCTAGAAAATCAGGGCAGCTTGTGTCAGCTTATCCTGTTACTGATTTTTATAGTCATTGGCCCTACGCAGTGTAGGGAGACCTGGCGTCTGCCTCCCAAAGAGCAGTCTCACACCGAGACTCAAAGGACAGCAGGAGGGCGGGAGGACAGTGCTGTGGAGACGTGGCCAGTGTTGGATGCTAACTGCTCTGACCCTCTGCAGGAGGGCGTGTGAACAAGCAGAGCAGAGACACCTCATGCAGGGAGATATGTAGAAAAGATGCCGTTGCATATGTGAGACTACATGTTTCTAGCGCTGCAGGCCGTGCAGGGCTGTTGGCCGCCAGCAGAGTGGGGAAATGCTGAAAGTTTGTAGGTGGGGTCTCTCAGAATGAGAAGTCCTACAAAAAAAACCCCATCCCAAAACCTGAGTAATGCCACTCTCTTAAGCGGGGTGAGTGGCAAGCGGTATAAGAGCAGGACTTGTGAGCTCTTCAGAAGGATCTGCTATTTAACCTGTGCTGAATACTGCTCTGAAAAAAATCGAGACCATTTGAGGTATCTTGGGCCATGTTGCCCTCTCTTCTTTGTATGGGCAGGAATCACATCTAGTTGATTGTGTGGCCTTTCACATCTACTCCTTGCTACTACCCTAGAAATATTCCCCTTCTGATCCAGTGAAGTGTATGAACTTGTTCTGTGTTACCCAGCAGAGGTCAAAGCATGAGAATGAGTCTGAGGCTGGAAATCCGAGCTGAGGGTTGTCACTGGGGCAAAGGAGGATGCCACAGGAGGTCCATCTTTAGTGTTCAGTTCTGCGTGGGCTGGAGATGATTCATAAACCAGTGGACTTAATGCTTATTTGTGTGAACAGCTGCCAATGTGCTACTTTCGGAACAAGGAGATGTGAAACTGGCTGATTTTGGAGTGGCTGGACAGTTGACAGACACACAAATCAAGAGAAACACCTTTGTCGGGACTCCATTCTGGATGGCACCAGAGGTCATCAAACAGTCTGCTTATGACTTCAAGGTGAGCTGGGAGCAGGAGGAGGATTGCTACTTGGTGCTTACTATATATGAGATGGTGCTAGGGTTAATACAGCGATTGGAAGTGCTGTTTGTTGCAAGAATGATACTTTCCTGTTACAGTTCAGGATCTGTTGGAGAAGTTTGTCTATTAGACGTGAAACACCTTATCTGATTTTATGTGATCAGCCCTTCGGCTGTGCTGAAGTTGTTGCAGAATTGCGCCTCGCTGTTCTGTGCTATCACTGTTCTTGCTCTTCTTTCAGGCAGACATCTGGTCCCTTGGAATTACAGCCATTGAACTAGCAAAGGGAGAGCCTCCAAATTCTGACTTGCATCCTATGAGGGTTCTCTTCCTGATCCCCAAAAATAACCCTCCAACGCTTGAGGGTCACCACAGCAAGCCCTTCAAGGAGTTTGTGGAAGCCTGCCTCAATAAGGATCCTAGATTTGTGAGTATTGCTGTCCACCTGTGAATTTCGGTGAAGTATTGCAGAGGTCAAAGATTTATTTAGCAGGAAGACCTTTTGGTGCAAGGCTCCTGGAGAGAAGGAAGTACTGAGCTTGCAGAATGGATGGGCAAGCCTGGCAAGAATTGAAGTCAGTGCACCTGCATATTTAGTGTACAGAGATGGTTAAATGTAGCATGCTTTCCTTATTTGCTCCAGAGGCCAACAGCTAAAGAGTTGCTAAAGCACAAGTTCATCACACGCTACACCAAGAAAACCTCATTCCTAATGGAGCTGATAGATCGATTCAAGCGCTGGAAGTCGGAGGGCCATGGAGAAGATTCCAGTTCTGGCGATTCTGATATGTACGTATATGTTCTGCATGGAAGGGTGCCCCTGCTGTACTCTGCGTGCCCCGGGGTAATCTACTGCACGCAGCTCAGGTCTTTTTCCCCACCTGGGTTGGAGATCTTACGGGAGCTCAGGGAGGCCTGTGACCATCTGTTTGTGGGAGCAGGTGACTGCTGCCTGAAGAAACAGGCTGTCACCTTAACCTGTGGAGCCTCTTTGCTGAGTGTAAGGAATCAGAAGTACTAACACGAAACATCTAGCATGTGCATAACTAGTAAAACAAGGCTCTTGTTGCCTGTGTTTTATGCACATTCGGTTAAATACATCGCCTTTCAAAGAGCTACAGGCTTTAGTAGCTGTGGCAGCAGCTGTGTATGTGTGTTTGTGTATTCACGGGTAGAGCTTTGCTACTGATGTGGAGGATAATGAGGCTATGAGCCTTGGGTGAGGAAAGAGCACTTTGTTGCCAGGCTGGTGTCGCAGAGCTTCTCTTCACCTGTAGTGGCAGTGACTCTAGTGACCAATGACTCTGTGAGGTTGGCTTGCAACATCCAAGCCTGGCCCCTCAAATTGTGAGCTTGGCTTGTCTTGAAATTCTCCTAAATTTAACTATACTTGAAACTGTCTTCACGCTGGCTAGAGCAGAAAGGTGGTTGTGGTGATTTGGAAACGTGATGTAGTACTTGGCTCAGATCTCTGTGGTGCTGCATATGAGCTGTAGAGACTGAAGCAGTTTCTCTTTAGGATTTTTTCTGGGATAGGAGAATGCCTGGAGCCCTGTGGTGATATGACAATCAGGTGGGGGAGAGCTTGTGACTATGGGAATGCACGGGTAAAACACCCGGTGTCTGGAGCTGAGGCTTTGTCTTGACCTCCTCCTTTTCATTTGCAGTGATGGAGACACAGAGGATGGAGACCAGGGTCCAATCTGGACATTCCCACCAACTATTCGTCCCAACTCCTTGAGCAAGCTGCACAAAGGAATGGCTCTTCATGGTTCCCAGAAGGTTTGTTTGCCGTCTATTCCTTCAGAAGTGGACTGAACTAACACAAGCTTTTGAGGGTCTTGGGGAAGCTATCAGTTACTCATGTTCTGTCTAAAATTTACTTTAGTCTGGTATCAAGGGCCTGTGCCCCAGAGTTGCCTCTTCCGCATTGTCAGGGTACTGCAATCTGTGGCTTTTCTGAGACCTGGTGAGGGATCTGCCATCAAGGTGCTGCGAATTTACCAAAGGCTTAGTAGTTTATGTGCCCAGGGAGCCTTTGCCTGTGCTTGTAACTTCTTTTCATTTTGCTTTCTAGCCTACTGAGCCCATCAAGAGGCAACCGCGGTCACAGTGTCTCTCCACGCTTGTTCACCCAGTTTTTGGGGAGGTGAGTAGAACCTTCTTGGTGTCTGTGGTAGTTGGAGACAAAGAGATACCTGGCATGGATGGGAAGGATTTGGAGAAGGGAGGTGGGGTGAGATACCTACTAGGGTTAAGGCACTGTGAAGCATTTGTGCCTCTGTTCAGAGATCTATACAGTATGTTAGGAAAGTGAGTATGTCGCTGGAGTGTCCTCTCCAATGCACTTGTATTCCTGGAAGCATAGCATTACTGGATTGTCTTCTGGTGAGGTAGAGGAGTACCTGTTTCTTATCTGTGTCTTAGGCTTGCTAATGCCTAGGCAACTCTGGACTCTGATGCCCCTGGCCTCCGTGGCTGAAGTGCAGCTCCTGTGAGGGCAGGCAGGTATTTGAGCCTGCCTGTTGCTCTGCATGTTCCCTGCCCTCATGCTACGTGCTGCTGCCCTCAGCAGCGTCACTGAAGGGAATGTGGGTGGATTAGAGCAGGAGTTGGCTTTGCCAATTACTAGGCTATCTTCTTGATTTATAGATGCCTGCTATTGCTAGCACGCAAAGGCTAAGGAGTTACCTACCATATGGCCTGTGGAAGGTAGACAGAGAAAATGGGTTTGGAAAATCCACCCTGTTTCCCTGCCTTGTGTTCTGGGTGGGGATGTGGAGTTAATAATGGTCTGTATCAGCAGAGAGATTAATTGTCTTTCCAGCTGGGTGATGTTCTAAAGGAGGAGAAGAGGATGATAATCCTAAGGGGGCTACTGGCTTCAGTTGCTGTTTCCAGCAGATGTGTAGGAAAAGAGGTTCTGCTTTGGAAGAAGTGGCTTACACAGACACTGCATGTCAGGGTTCTTTTCTTGGGGTGCTGGGTCACAGAGACCTTTTCTCTAGTCCTGATGACTTGCTCTTTTCTGGATCCTGATGCTGTTCCAGGGGTGGCCCAGCAGAGAGCTGTGCTTTTTCAGGATAGTCTCTGGACTTAAATCTCTTTTCTCAGGTCTAGTGCTGTGTGGAAACAGGGTTTGCTGCAGGGCAGGAAGCAGAGGTCATTCTGAAAAGCAGGCAGGCAGTACTCTTGAGACAGCACTGCTTTGGAAATTGAGAGTTTAGCTAACTGGCCTCTTCTGTACTCCACGGGACTTGACTTCCAGAAGTCAGAGCGTGAGGCAGACGGTCTGGGTCTTGTAGGCCTAGACCTATGAGATAAAAATGGATAAAAATAATGTTGGCTTCTGATGCAGGCAGTTTGTTCCTGCCGCATAGTCACTGACATCTGGTTCTCAGTCCTTTCTGTTTAGGAGCCTTCTGGGGGAGGGGGTGTTCAGAGCTGTGGGTTCTCCAAACTACTGAATGCATTTTTGTGCTTCTCCTTACCAACCTTGCTGCACCAGTTCCAGGCGGGAAATGGCTTCTTCGGCCTTTCATTTCTGCTAGTTTGACTCCCTTGCCCCAGATTTGCTGATCCTCCTTTCCTTTGATTTGACTTCCCTGCCGGCTCTGCTGATCCCACTCAGCAAAATCAGGTGCAGGGAAGGTTCCGGGCAGTCTCTGAAATAACCTGGCTTCTGCGTGCAGTAGCAGGGGGTTGGAAGAAAACTCTTCTCCAAGTCTCCAAGTAGGAAATCTGCTTCACTACTTGGTTGCATGAGTTGTTCTTTTCAGTTTCCTACCAACAGCAGACTTTCTCCTTCTCACTGTTGTATTATTGCCTCTTAGACCTGCTAGGTTTTGATCACCTCTTTCCATAAAAGGGCTGAAGCTGGGCTTTGTGAATTGAAATCTTCCTGAGATGCTGTTCATAATCTTCTATATGCCTTCCCTGCTCGTGTATTATTGGATGTTAATATTGAAAATGACGCATAGTGGGTCATCAACACAGATGTGGGCAACTGCAAATCTGGAAACCCGTCTGCCCTTTCTGGGGCAGGGAGGAAAGGTAGGGTATTTGGGCCTGGAGGGCCAAGCAGTGAATAAAAGCTGACCTGTAAGGCTTTGCGCAGTACAGTTCTCTAACCCCCTGCTAACCTCCAGAAAGCTCTTCTGCACTGGAAAGTGACAGGGTATCACAGACTGCTCACATCACAGGCTGCTGGGCAAACTAAAGGTCAGTGGCTTGGCATCAAAGGCCGATAATAAACTGGCAACTTACCTGCAGGACAGACCCTGTGTCTCATTTTGCTCCGAGGCAGGCTTTGGTCAGGTAGATGTCAAATCAAATCCTTGGCTTTAGCATCACAACTATTTTTGGCCTAAGAAATCTGTATCCTTGATGTGTAATTGGGTTGCCCTCTGTGCCCCTTGCCACTTCTGAACGAGCAGAGGTGTGTGCAAGTTGCTCCCACAGCTGAGGCTTTGTGTTGGTGAGCAATTACCCCACTGAAGAGGCAGCAGCTCTTTTTGGCTAGGAGCTGTTTGTTTCCAGCAGGGGACTTGGAGCACAGGGACGGCTCCAGCTGGGGATTAGCATTTGCATTGTCCTGCTTTCCGGACCATGGGGAAAAGGTGAGCTCCAACAACAGGAAAGGCTGATCCTAGAATTGCAGGCAAAGAACTGTGAGGCTTATGTAAAGCCCTTTAATCAGCGTAGCCTAACGGGAGCTTAATTGAACTGGACAGTGGTTAGCTGGCAGACATTGCTTGTTCAACAAAAGATTTTGATTTTTGTTCAGCTCGTGTAATGATGTGCTCTAGGAAAGGGGCTGCCTGCTTGTGCGAAGGAGGGGGGGAAATGCTGCAGAGGATGTGACTGTGGGTTTTCCAACGACCGACTCTTTCAGGCTCAGCATCAGTGACCTGTCAGGAGTTCCTTAACGACAGAGGTTTAGCTATTTCAGATGAACAACTGGAACCATGTGCGAGTAGACTTGTGGGTGGTGAGGCCTAGTCGGAGTGTGCCAACAATGATAGATGCAAACTGAGGCTTTTCATCTAGGTCAGATGCTGCACGTGGAGGTCTTTGTGTGTGGGCTTCATTCCGCTGGCCCTCTGGGGAAAGCTCTCTCTTGAGGAGGAGTGTTGGAGGCCAAGGGGCTCAGGATCTGTAGCGTGGCAGTAGTGTCCCTCTGCCTCCCAGTCACTAGAAGCAACTCAAACTTTTTTGTGGTTAGTAAAAGTGGTGGTGACTAACTCCTGGTGTTACGATATTTTCTGCCCTACGTGTCTACAAGCCTTTGTGTGTGTCTGGCTGCTGAGCTGTCATTAGCAGCAAAGGTGACAGTACTGGTTCAGATCAGCTGGAGTTCTTTGTTCTGTTACTACTTACAGGTTTTCAGGGCTGTTGATCCATTTCTAATATCATCTGGTTCGTTTAAGAGTACATCAGGGCCTGTTTGTTAAGGACTTCAATTGCTATTAGCACCTGGAGGAAAGTATGAACTCCAGACATCGGACTTTCATCTTCCTGACCTACAAAAAGAGCCCTTTTTTATTTTTTTTAAGAAGAATGTGGGTGCCCTCCTGCACCCTTGTGGAGTCATACTAAAAGGGAAAGGGACTTACTTACTGTCTGTACTGCACTGCTTGACCAGCGCTTTCTGCAATGAGATAAGGACCTAACGTACCGTTTCTGGGTTGCAGCTTAAAGACAAGCACAAGCAGACTGGAGGCAATGTGGGAGCTATGGAGGAGCTGGAGAACGCCTTTAGCTTGGCTGAGGAGTCCTGCCCAGGCATCTCTGACAAACTGATAGCACACATGGTGGAGCGGGTACAAAGGTGAGCGTCCTCTAGAGTGTGAGCTGGGGTGGAGCTGGCCACGAACCGAACCATTGTCATACTCCAAGACTATGGTAAATGTTGGTCTGAGCAGTCAAGACACCCAAAAAGTGAATATTGATGACAGCTGACCTAATAGTCCCTGACTCACTTTTGGCTGCTTTTCTTTTCATGGAAGCAGTTCTTCCTGCCTCAGAAGTCCTTTCTCACACTGAACAGGTTTCTGTAGTGTGGTTGAATGTTGTAGAGTACAGTTGCTGCTATTCACCTTCATCTTGCGTATATACACACACACACATATATATGTATATATGTATGACGTCCTGCTGGTCACATTACCCAGGTAGCGAGGACTATGCAAAATGTCACTTCTAGAATAGTGAGTATCTGTTTCATTGCAAGGAATGTGCTTTACAGCACTACGTGCAGCCAGTCTCTCTGCTTGCCCAGCTTAGGTAGCAGGAAACTATTTTTCCTGAAGTGAATTACTTATTAAACCAGTGGAGGAGTATAGTCTGGTAGAATTAAGTTCTTTGCTGCTCAGCAGGTGCCGCATCAAACTTGCCGCCACTACTGGCACCAAGTTCAGTCACACCCATGTAGCACAGGCAACAATGTCAGATCCTGATCACAGGTTTATCAGGCTTTATTTAACATTAATTTGGATTTTCTCCCTTTCACAGCAGGCTATCCTAAATCTTGCCCTTTCCTCACTAGCTGAGAAACTTAACATTTGGCCCCTCACTGGTCAGAAGGCTGGAAGTAAAGTATTTTGCTATACGTGTGACCAAAGGAGCCATTGTGTGCTTTGGTTGCTAATGTAAATACAACCCAAGGTTTACAGTCTTTACGCCCTTGAACTTGGGCTTTCTAAGCATTTATTTCTGATGGTTTTAAGCTGGTGTAGTTTGTGCCTTGTAGCTCAAGTATCCGTTGGATGCTGTCAAGCAAAGAAGAGCCTCAGATATTAAGGATTGAAAATACTGGCCATCCTTGAGAGCTTCTGTTACTAAGTCATTCAAGCTTTCAAGCAAATATGCTGTGGGTCTGTTTCGATCCCTCATCTAATAATCACTTAAAGGCAGAAAGATAAGATAACACTCTTGTCTCTTCTGGCTGACCCATAGAGGTCACAGAAAGTGTCCTGGTGATGCCTGCAAAAACTTTAGCCTCTAGCTGAGCAGGAGGTTCTCGCAGATGTGTGTTGGGTGACTCTGCAGGGCAGCTGTTTCAGTATCATTCACTTCTATCAGCCTAGACATGGCACTACTGGACGGCGTATAAGCGCAAGACACTGTTTTTTGGAGGTTTGCAAAACCTCTGAGACCCTGGTTGGTTTCTTACTGTAAAACACTAGTGCTCAAAATTTCTTATTAGCCTAGAATTGAATCTTAAAGGCATGAAAAAAGTGCCGCCTTGGCTTTTTGTTAAATTGCTTTTTTTTTTCTTTCAAGATTTCTTTATCTAGAAAACTGGTAGTGGCAATGGGAGTGGGGACAAACACATCCAGACTTACCTCTTCATGCGCAGACGCGCTGGCTGGCGCAGCGCCTGTGGGCCGTCTTCCAGGTGAAGGCTTGAAATGGACAGTAGTGACCAGTTCCACCCGTTATTCTTTCTCGCAGGTTTTCACACAGTCGGAACCACCTGACCTCTGCCCGCTGACACCTACATTCCCTGCTGCTGTTTTGAGGGGGGAAGGATTTTTTCCAGCTTCATAAGAACTACATCTCTAATCCAGACCACCATCTGCTGTTGGATGTAACATTGTGTTACGGACTCCAGGACATTTCAGAGCCTTCATATTACACGTGTTTCCATGATAACCCAGGGTGGGGTTTGCAATGCAAGTACAATTTAGACCTTTTGCAGAACCCAAGATGGGTGGTCTAATTGTTTTTACAATGTAATCAATGCAGTTTTTAATTGTTTCCCTATGGATGTATCCATTTTGGCTTGGTTTGATTCACAGCTTGTTATTGGTAAATGCCTGGCTGCTGGAAAAGAGGGAGATTGTCTTCCATTGAGATATGTTTCAAGGGCGAGTCTGATGGGTTTAGCCTCCTGCCCTTCCTAAAGAAGTGTTTGTGAGCAGTAATGTGTGAGTGCAGGTATGTTCGGAAGCTCTCCATGCATTATGGCCTCTGGGAAAGCTAGAGCAGCTCTCCAGTTGTTCTGGAGGATTGCTTCAACTCCTTCACACACTAGTAAAGAAAAGCGTTCAAGTATAGGAGCAGCTGAGCTAATATGCTGCTGCTCTTTCCCAGCTTGTCGTTTCACAGGAGGAGGGGTTTGCTGACTGTACTTTTTTTGGCTCTGGGACATCATTTTGTATTAGGCCTTGGTTCATCTAATTCAGGCAACGGCAGAACTTGCCTTGGGTCTCCAGGGACTGGAAGGCAAAGTGGTTACATTTGGTTTGGGAGCTGGTAGAGTTCCTTTTCCTTGGTGCTTTCTGCAACTGAAGCAACTAGATACGCAGGTTTGGCAGTCCTAGTCTCTAAGCTGAGTAGACACCTACTGTGCGTGCACAAATGTTGCAGAAGAGTTAAAAAAAAGGGGCAGGGGGAACACAATAGCCAAAGGTGCTGAGAGGGCTTCAGTTCAAAAGGCAGTGCTTGAGGACAAACCTGTCCTCTACAGAAAGATATGAATTGGATGGCTAGCAGCAATGGTATCCATGTGGTGTGGCTGGGGGTCGGAAAAGCCGCTCTTAGGTCTCCATCCCCTTCTTCTCAACTTTCCCTTTCTGGCTCTTCTTTCAGTCTGGGATCTAACCTCGCTGAAGCCAGGGCTCTGCTCCAATTGACAAGCTGTGGTGGTGTTTGCTAGCAGAGAAATTAAAGCATCTACTGCTGTATTGGCTGCTTATGGTATTCCAGTGAAGCCATCCCCCACTAGCTTTGCTTTCTGTATAAAACTCGTTTATAAAGCAAATCTTTGATTCAGGTAAATGCACAGATCTTAAATCTATACTTTAAAGGTCTAGAAAAATAGATTTAGGAAAGTAACTTCTGATAGCTGGTTGCTTAGAGATTTGCTTTCTAATTGTAAAGATATTCCCATTAAGTCAGCAAGACCTTAGATACCCAGATCTTTCTGTCTGGGTGTTTGTGTGTGAATGATGTGGCTCACCCCAAAGCCACTGAGAACAAAAGCCGTAGCTGTTCAGCATTTTTTTTAAAAGATAGGCCACTTGGTTAGTGACAAGGCTTGATTTTTGGTACTTTGATTCAGACCTGCAGATTGTAGTAAGTGCTGGGCTAAAAGTAGCTCAAAAGGACCATACATTCCCTCATCCTGGTATGCGGTGTTCACTTTAGCTTATGACTATCCTTTACTCTTCCTCTCTGATGGATAAATACAGGCTCAGCAAACACCATGAACTTGTCCAGTAGAGAAGAGGTGCTGCTCTTTGGTCTTGCTGGAGATCTGCTGCAGAGTGGTGTCTCTCTGTGGTGAGAGCCGTCTCGGAGCCTGCATTTATGAAGAACAGAACAAATCCATTTTTTCCTCAGGAGAAGGAGTTAACATATAGACAGGAAACTTGCTGAGGCGGAAGGCAGAGGCTGCAGTCCAGCAGAAAGGCAGCTGAAGGGCTCCTGTTGCTTTTAAAGTTGCTGTTCATGACGGTAGCAAATTGTGTCAATAAGGTACCTTGTATTATTACTCACATGCACTGCAGTGTAAAGAGTAAACTTTTTAAAGGAAACAATCCCCACAAACTTTGTCCAGTATTCAAAGCAACAATGGTTTTAGTTTTTAAAAACGTTGAAAGGGATCTGCCACTTTCAATAAAGTAACAAAACAAATGAGGCTGGTGTAACTTTGTATTAGGGAAAAAGTACTTGTTCAAGCTGCTTTTCTTTGCCATCTTCTTGGTCTTCCCCCGCATCTTCCTGCCTCATGTAGATCTAACAGTGACTCGTGAGACAGACCTGTTTAAGTACTTTTTGTGTAAGGAGGGAATACAGTGAAAGACACGTTACATTAGTCCTTTCTGCTGACATACACTGGCGTTAAGGGAAGCACACACTGTTTGCAGAAGTGTAGCTGTGCTATGGAGAATGCTTCGGTGCAGTTTTTGCTGGCATCTTGTTTATTGTTCTGTACTTAGAGTCAGGTTTGACTGTAAAAGCTGACAACAGGCTATCTCTGCCTTCATCTGTCTCCCTTTGCAGTTGTGAGAGTGGCCGAGCAGTGGCACACGCTGCCCAGAGAAGCTGTGGAGATAATCAAAAGCTGTCCAGAGCAGGGGGGGCTGGACCAGATGGCCTGCCGAGGTCCCTGTCAACCACAACCACTCTGAGTGTGTGACCTCAGTTACAGGATAAACACTTTGGAGACGCCACTTTAAGCATGTTTAAAACCTTGCGTATGCCTGTCCTTCCCTAAGCAGAAACACAAAGGTGAAGTTGGTTCTGTGATCAAGTTGTACAGTACCGTCTCAGCTATTTTCTCCTTGGAGCCAAAAAGAGAGACTGACAAAGGTACCTCTGACCGTGCTTTTTTGGGAATTTTGTTAAACCCCACGTGCTTGCACTCACCACTGCTTCACAGACTGGTGGCAGGACAGTGGTGATGGTGCAGCCTTTCTCATCTGCAGCTGAAGTGGGGGAGGGTAGTTTTAGTGCAGGGCTTTGGGGACAAGCCAGAAGGTGAGCACGCAGAGCTATGCAGCTTGTATTTTGTCTGGGTGACTGGAAGTCTGCCTTATAAAATGAAAGCTCTGACAATTAATGTCCCCCCAACTCTCAGACTCTCTAAACCTTCACAACAGAGCACTTAACTTCACTGCATGTGAGCCGTGCTCCACTTGCACCCGAGCAGCATGAGGCTGCTCGCCTCGTGTACATGCACGTTGCTGACACTTCAGCAGAGATAAAGCTGTGGTGACGTAGCCAGTATGAAAGAGGGAGGTGAATTATCTGGTGTAATGGGAGTCACTCTTGTAACCGGGGGAGATAAAGGGAGCAGTCACCAGAACAGCTCCAGTAGGTTGCATTAAACACGTAGGAACTACTGCAAAAACTTACTTGTTCTGATTTCTTAAGCAATGAAGCAGGACTCTGTTACACTGAATGAGGGACAGCCAGCCAGTCCTGCGGGAAGCAGGGAAAACTGGTAGTGTTTACCAGAAATGATGACTTTTTGAAATGAAATGAGACCATGGATATTAAGCGATGAGGTCCCAAGAGCATGGGTTCATCTCTCCCTTAACATACATCCTGCTAGCAAGAAACTAATGAGTAAGGACCAGTTGTATTCTGTTTTTCCTAGTGCTCTTGTTAAAGAAACTGCTCATGAGTGTAGCAAAGACAAAAAATACTCCTGCAGAGTTCTGGTAAAGTAGAATTACTACAGGGTATTTCACAGAAGAACTGATATGCCACTGAAATCCTCAGCAGTTTGAAAGCTTGCCAAGGTGAGAGGTAAGCAGTTTTGCCAGGAATAGTGAAGTTTCTGGCTTTCATAGCCTGTGCTCCTGCATTTTAAATGCACAGACATTTGAACTTTGTATTCTCCGCCCGAGAAGGGACTTTTGCTGCCTGCTGTCTTTCTCGGTTCCTGGTCAGCTAGCAGCAGAGGCTCCTCTTTCAGGGACCACACCTCAGCCACTGTAGATAGCACACGCGTCTTCAAGACAGGAAATACCGAGCTGCAGGTTAAGCACGTAAGTAACTCAAGGATCATCCACTCCTCAACTGCCCAAAAATCTTAAGGCAGGACTCTCGCTCACTGCATCTCTCCTGCAGCAGGAGTTGTAACAGTACTATTCTGCTACACAGAGGTGATGGGAGGATAGATAGAGCGTAGGTGTTTAACCAGTGTGGATTAGCCATGTAAGTACCTACCAGTCATGTACTAACACCTTTAGGGTGTGTCCTTCCACTGTGTTCTTTGATCATTTTCCCAAGTGTCAGAAGTAGTTTCCTTGTGTTACAGGCTAAAGCAGTGTTCCCTATGATACGAGACAGAAAAACAAGTGGGGCAGGAAGAGACTCTGCTGGAGCCTGCAAGGGAGCGTACAAAAGCCAAGCCTCCACGCTGCTTGCTAAGGGCAAGGCTGGCTTGTACTGTTCCTCCTGTCTCCAGTAACATGCGCTACATGTCAGTCTGATCTTTAATGCGTGCTATTAGGGAGATTGACAGCTGATTTCTGGAGGTAATTTAGACAAAACTCTAGCTGATGTTAAGAGAGTAAGCTATCTCTGTCAGCTAGTTTAAAAAAAAAAAAAAATTAAACCCACCAGGGCCAAATACCAGGCTATTTCACCCCAGGCAGAAAACACTGCACCCTCTCTTGCACTGTGCTCACAGAAACACACGTTTCTCCTGCTCTTCTATCCTTGTCTCTTCTGGCAATTGGCCAGGTCTAGCTTTCGTAACACACATGCCGGAGTATGGGCACTGCCCTTCAACAAACACAGCTTGCTTTTGGGGACCCCTGGCCTGTGACACAGCTGCGTAGTCCCCAGCCTGTACCGCAGAGGGTACTTTGTCCCCCATGCAAGACTTTGTATTTATCCTTTTTGAATTTCAGGCGGCGTTTGTCAGTCCCTTCCTCCTGCCCTGCCCTGGAGCTGCTCCCTGTGCCTACTGGCACTCACAGGCTCCATAGAGGTGGCTCCGCCACCTCCTCCACATCGTTCTGACTCGGTGCTGTCTCTCTGCTGCAGATGGAGCATAGCTTGATGCTGGGTGAACTGAGAACCACAGTCTTGGAAAACTACTGAGTGACTTGAACACTCTAAAAAAGTATTTCGAATCCTGCTGCTAGAAAGCCCTGCTACAGTAGGTGGTGCAACTAAAGGTTGGGGTTAAGTGCCGAGACCCCCAGCTGCTGACAGAGACCCCGCTCCTCCTCTTTGCAACTTGTTCCTGCAGAGCTTCCCCGCAGGAGACCAGCAAAGGGCAGTAATTGCGTGGGAGAGTTCTCATGAAAGAGGAAAACACTCCTGCTAAGCAACTCCAGTATGTGACCGTGACAAAGCATCAGTTACCACCCAGGAAACCACTGAATGCAAAGACCCATTAATCAACAGTGTGAAACCTCTTCTCTCAGGTCCCAGGAAAAGCAATGCTTCTGTGCAGATGCAGTCCATCTTCCCACGAGCGTGGCTCCGGAATAAGAGGCTGAGATAGTTTTATACCAAGATGCTATTTACTTTCAACAGTCATATTCAGCTGCGTTAACATATCTAATCAATCCACATGTATACACCTACAACAGTTAATAAAAAAAAAAAAAAAAAGACAACACTAATAAATTAAGTACAGTTAACTTACATGGGACAATGGTCATTGTGACAGTGGTAGTGAAGGCGGGATCGTCTTCTCTACGATGCAAATGCCAAGTGAGCGGTCTGGAAAATCCCTTGGGAACCCCCTCCCTGCAGTCCTCGTCCCGCACATGTTTTAGACCGTAACCTGAAACAGCTTTGGAGAATGCACATGCTGGCCTCTGTACTTCCTGTTTTCACAGGGATCTCCAC